TAGCTTAAGTTTTGGCAAATTAAGAACAAGGGAAGGAGGTAAGTAAGATTAGTATGTTACTATGACTTTTACTTTTATCAAAGTGTGGGTCAACCGGAACTACACGTCTTTTCTAAGCTCAGGTTCCACATGACACGTCACTCCGAAAACATCAGCTTTTRCCTGRTGATGWCTTCTTAAGGCACCCTCGGGGTAGGAGCTGGCTCGCCTTCACCTGTTCTGCCCCTCTCCTCTGGAACTCTCTACCATCACAACTATGAATCATCACTTCTCTTTCTCTATTCAAGAATGCTCTGAAAACACCACTTTAGGTTAGCTTATCTGTCTTTTGCTATAAAGTGTCCTTGTGTGTCCGGAAAGGCACTTTGTAAAAAAAAATATTATTATATTAGAAAAGCACAAAAAGTTAGCAATGGTGGGCACAGTTCTGCTCATCATTTAATAGTGGAACTAATGTTTTGCTCATCTGTTTTGCATTTGCATTAACTTTATAAATTAGTAACAGAAATAACTCCTACTAAAATAATTTTGTTTATTTTACATGCCACCAAAAATTATATATTTTACATGATGTTCTTATTGAATTCAACATTATTTCCTTTCACATGCAACAGTGACAGGCTCAATGATGTTATGCTAAGCAAACCAGTCTCTGTCCAGAGGCACATAGAAACATGACCCTTGAGAAAAGGACAGTTGTTGCCACATTTCCTCTCTTCTATACTGACCAGACCTTCTACTCACGGTCTCAGTTTTCCCTGCCTTTTTGGTGGCATGGAATTCTTTCAGTCACAGACAGCATTTTCCATGTTTGTTGCATAATAAAAAGTGAAACTAAGACACATTTTTGCTTTAAGTTGGGGAATATATATATATATATATATATATATATACACAATAGTATAAATTATGCTTATATTTAATAATTAGTAGAAACATAATTTCTAAGGCTGTAATTTGTCACTTCATGTTTTTCCCTCCCCATCTGCTCTTCTGGTTTCAGGCAGCAGTTGTAGCCATGCCTCCTGGTTTGACTGAAAGAAAGACATGAACATTTTTATCCATGATCTATGAAGCAGTTTGAATTGTGTTGACTTACATTTTTCACATTGCACATTTAGGTTTGGTTTTATATCTGTGTTAAAGTTTAGTTTATTGTGTATTTATTGTAAATCTGACGAATTTTGTTTGAAAAGTCTGAGCCATATAGAAGGGGAACCAAGAGTGTTCTTATTGACTCATTGGATGTTAATATGATCAATTTTAGTGGTTTAGTTTTAAGTTTTGCCAATTTCATGTTTGTTCAGCTTTTTATCATTAGCAGAACTAAGGAAATTGTGTAGGGGCTTAGATGTTAGTGAAGCTAATATTTTGGTTAGTTGTACCCACCACGAAAAGCTAGAAACAGCACTGCTCTGGATGTTCATGTTTGATTTTAACCTGTCTAAAGACTGCCTGGTGCTTCTTTACAGACTGTTTTGATGAGGAGTTTCAGTACTTGAATGTAATTGAAGTAACTATAGTTTGAACACAAGAAGTACTTTTCACAATATTCTCTCGCTACATCACAACCAAGTTTGTTAACCTCTTTGCTGCTTTTGTCTACTTGCTTCTGTCTTTTCTTTCAGTGGGATGACATCCCTATGCGAGATGAGACTGGAAGTTCTGCACCTGTTCTTCAAGCTTGTAAAAAAAACAACTTTAAGACTATCTTGTCACCGCGGATGGAACGTAAAGATGCCCATTATTTACTGATGGATATTTCATTTGGCCAAGAGGAGGAGTTATCTGGTCAGTCAAGCCCACTGCAAGTTCACCTTTATGATACAGAGTCCTACATCAGACAATTTCAAAGTGGTTGGTCCTCTGTAGACCTTCAGACTAAACCGTTCCCTAGATCAGTAACTTTTTCCCATCTAMGCAGCCACCTGAACCGCAGCCTGGCCTTGAGTCTGGGCCCAGTCACACAAAGCGGCTTCCAGATTGCCTTCTCCTACACAGGAGCATGTGTGATTCTAACATCTATCAGACTGTTCTACAGAAGATGTCCTGACATTACATCTGACCTGACCTCATTTAGACCTGTTGGAGCTGGGGCAGGAGTTGTGTCAGGTTCTTGTGTGGTAGGGGCTGTTGAAGTAATTACCCCTGAAAGAGAGTGCAATATGGATGGTATGTGGGGGTCACTGCAAGGTGGGTGTACCTGTGAACCAGGACATGAAGAGATGGATAACACATGTAAAGGTAAGAAAAACAGGTTATTTTGCTTCTAATTTGCCTTGGCAAATATTAGTTTAACAAGCACTTGCGTGAATGCTGAGTCAGAATTTTGTTTTTAGTTTAAGGGCCATTTTGAAGTGGCATTCTGCCAAACAGTTATCAGTAGTTATAAAGTAACTTATCAGCCAGGGCCCCATACTCTCAGAGTTAAGTGTAAAAGCAAATTATCAAAATTCTCAAGTCTAAGAATCACTCTTATTCTCCTGAAAAGTTATAACTGCTTCAGAGGTCTCTTAAGTGGTTAAGTCGTGGTCAGAGTTGCCACTAGGGGTCTGAGATGGATGAAAGAGATCACAGCTGTGTCCTCAAGRATACTCTGCACCACCTCAGAAACTGTACCAAGCGGTCCGGGGTTCTCCCACCTGAGAGTGATTYTCAGTTACAATGTACAGARTAACTAAAATAATGTGTGGAAAACAGGTTTAGTCATCAATACAAAAGAAAGAACGGGAGAAAAAACTATTACCAGTGCCATAATGTTGGACTAAAAGGTGGATATTTCTATGCAGCTTTTGGAGAGAATATTAAACTATCTGCTGGTGAGTAAGAGCAGACCACATGATGCTGTCAAGAGTCTTGATTTGTTCTTTTCCCCTCCACTGGTGAAGGTGGGATTGAACTTTCCTCTTATTATGTTTTCTTTCTTTAACTCAAACTTCACAGAATCTGTTAACCTAATAAAACAAAAAAAACTTAGCACATGTATGTGGGGGTGGGTTCCTGGTTCAAGTGTTGTGTGTGTTTGTGTGTGTGTGTGTGTGT